TTTTGAAGGAACAATAAATGGTATATCTGCTGAGATCCTAATACGTCTATTGAGGTGAAGAATTTGATACCAACCATTAAACAAGGCGGTGACTGCATTATAATGTTGGGGTGCTTTGCTGCAGCTGGAACAGGCAAAATAGTGCACATTGACTGCACAATGTATTCTGCAAGATACCAAGCAATTTTTTTTATGTAAGTGTCTTGTCTTCAGTTCAAAATTTGGGTTTATGTCGGGGCTGGAATTTCCAAGAGGATAATGATCTGAAGCATCATGCAAACCTACAAAAGAATGGGTTTGTCAAAAGAAATTTCAAGTCTTGGAATGGCCTCTTCAAAGTCCTGATCTAAACCAAATTGAAAATCTATGATTCAGGTCAAAAAACGCAGATTATTTATAAAAAATTGGATTCATTAATGTCAGAAACTTCTTAAAAATGATAGCAAAAGTCTGGTTGACATTGTAACCTCAGAAGAAGCCATCACCAAATATTAAATGTGAGCTTCACTTCATTTTCAAAGCTTAATTTTTAATTTATACTTCATGTTTTTATTCGAGCTTGTTAGAAATATTTAAAAGTGGTGGTAATTGATTTAATAAAGGTTTATCTTAATAAATATATAGTTTAATTAAGATTTGTTGATCAGCAGGAAAAATGAAACAATTTTTTTTTCAAATATTATGTTCGTGGATCATTTATTTTGCATAGCACTGTAGATATGAAAAAAAAAATAGATAGATAGATAGATAGATAGATAGATAGATAAATAGATAAATAGATAGATAGATATGAAAAGACAGACCTATATATATATATATATATATATATATATATACAATATTAAATTTTAAGCTGTCACCTGTGTCGTGCAAGTGAATATAGGCAAGTGGCTATTGTTTCTTCATCTAGGTCGAGTTTTAAATTGAATTTAACGGCAATACCGTCCAAAACTTGTCCAAGTACCGTCAGCACTACTCCTTTTTGGGACGCCTCAGTCACCGGATAATAAACGTAGCCCCCCTCACGACGGAGAGGTACTGCTTAAGAGTAAGATTCCCCTGAGGTTTGGGCTTAAAATTATCTGAACCTCCCTGAGCCAAAAGGCCGAGAAGGGATAATAATCCAGTCTATAATCCAGTGGAATAATCCAGATTCTAACTACGCTCTGCTATTAGATTCTTGGTTCTCTGTACGTTTCTGAACTTAAATTTAACTGAATTGTTATGATGTTGATTTGGGGTTGATAAAGACAAACGCCAAATAACACGTAACAACAAAAAGGGGTTTATTCGAGTGGTAAGTAGGTACAGAAATCGCCTGAGTAGTATATAACGAGCTCAGCCAAGAACTTCTCCGACTCTGTCTGTCTTTTGACATGCCACTATTTAACGTCTTTGTTTGTAGACAAGTTCATCTTCAAGAGGGGTGGTAGCTTTCCTACAAAACATGAATGGAGTCCTAAGATTACAAACAGAAAAAAAGAAAATAAACTTACTTTATGGCATAGCGTTGCAGTATTTCCTTCTCTTGTCCCGGAGGGCAGCCCTAAATATATTTTCAAAGAAGGAGACAGCATAGTTGGTTTGGTTTGGTTTGGTTTGGTTTACGGCATATCAACCTCAATGGTTCTTTTTAATGCCGACAAGATTTTTATTGCTGGTAATATTTTTTTTTTCCAAAACTGAATTTCTGGTAATATTCCCCCTTCAAAAATCCACTGCTGGTAATATTTTCTTCAAAAAATGTAGCGCTGGTAATAATGTATTGTTGGTAATAATTTTTTACAAAGTATTTCTGTTATTAAAACCCACCTCCACACTTCACATTGCTCTAACCCCAATCTGGTGGGGGGCAACCACCTGCCCACACTGAGGCACAAACAGGTGCCGCCACTCCGGGTCAGGGTGAACACTGGAACAACAGAAACCAAGAGGTGGACCCACGCTTCTCCAAAACCTCCCGATCTGAGACCCCACCGCCGGATGTAGTTTATCGTCAAACCCAGGACGCGGATATATTTTATATTCTTACCCCGGACGCGGCTGTAATTTATTGTCATACCCTGGACGTGGATGTAGTTTATCGTCATACCCTGGACGGGGATGTAGTCTATCGTCATACCTAGGACGGGGATGTAGTTTATTGTCATACCCAGGACGGGGATGTAGTCTATCGTCATACCCAGGACGCGGATGTAGTTTATCGTCATACCCAGGACGCGGATGTAGTCTATCGTCATACCCAGGACGCGGATGTAGTTTATCGTCATACCCAGGACGCGGATGTAGTCTATCGTCATACCCAGGACGCGGATGTAGTTTATCGTCATACCCAGGACGGGGATGTAGTCTATCGTCATACCCAGGACGCGGATGTAGTTTATCGTCATACCCAGGACGGGGATGTAGTCTATCGTCATACCCAGGACGCGGATGTAGTTTATCGTCATACCCAGGACGCGGATGTAGTTAATCGTCATACCCAGGACGCGGATGTAGTTTATCGTCATACCCAGGACGCGGATGTAGTTTATCGTCATACCCAGGACGCGGATGTAGTTTATCGTCATACCCAAGACGGACATTGTTGGTGGTGAGACGCCAGGCGTCACGGTTCTTAGTTAGGGAAACTTGTTCATCCTGGAAATGCGTCCATCCTGCAAACGTGTCCAACGCAGCGTAGCTGGGACTTCAAAAGCATGGACTCCATGCTGGTAAGCTTCACCTGTTCAAGGACTATATTGGTGACAAAGTCACTCCAGTGGATGTTAAGAATGGTGCGAAGGCAGTGTTGATGGAACTTTTGGCGGAATCGCTGTTGGTGATGTTAGGTCCTAAGATTACAAACAGAAAAACAAAGAAAATAAATTAACTTCATGACAGAATAAGTTTACGAATTGGAAATGTTAAAATCGGGAAAAGACAAGAATATCCGGGAAGTATTTAAACAGCAGATGGAGAAATCCGAAGACGCCTTCGAAAAGCTAAGCAAAGTATTACAAGAAAAAGAAGAAATTTGTTATGTCAACAAATGCTGAATAATTTCCTCACAGCTGAAGATTGATTCGTTTTTTTACAGTTTATCAACCCTTTGCAGGTTATTTAAAGCCAAGAATTATAATGTGGATATAAAATCGGGGATCAATTCTATATTACAAACAATAGATAAACTGATGCCTCACTTTGCGACCACAGTAGTTTCTATACATTTACATTCCAGAGAATGTAAATAAATCTAACAGACATGCTTGTGAAGCTAATCAGTATTTCAGTGATTGATTGGTTCGCTTTTTTACTCCTTATCAACCCTTTGCAGGTTATTTAAAGTCAGAAATTATAATGTGGATACAAAGTGGGGAATCAATTCTGTATTACATTCAATACGTAAACTGATCCCTCACTTTGTGGCCGCAGTAGTTTCTATACATTTATATTCCAGAGAATATAAATAAATCTAAAAGTCATACCTGTGTTGCTAATCAGTATTTCATTGAAGGGTTGATTCGCTTTTTACGGCTTATCAGCACGTTGCAGGTTATTTAAAGCCAGTTTAACTGAAATCTGCAATGTGACCATAGAATGGTAAGAAAAATAATTTGAGGACTGAATAATGATGCTATGAATTTACGTTGATAAAAGATTTTGTTAAAAATGGTGGAAAGTTTTGAATTAAACTTATACGATACAATAATCAGTTTAACTGAAATATTGCATAAATCATATTATACTGGGAGCGTAAACTTCAATCATAGAATATGATAGAATATAAAATTTAGTTAAAAATTAGCATAATGTGAAAAAAAATTCATGGAAAATACGTTAGTGACTGAATAATGGTTTGGTTTTTGTTTTACGGCATATCAACCTCAATGGGTTATTTAATGCCGACAAAGTTTTTATTCTATTTCTGGGAATATTTTTCCTTGAAGAAAATATAGTTGGTTATATTTTTTTTTCAAAGAATGCATAACTGTTTGTATTGCTGGTATTTTTTTTAAGTACTGTTGATATTAATTTTTCCTTCAAAAATTATTGCTGGTAATAATTTTGTATAAGTATTTCTACTATTAAAACCTATTTTTACACAAGTTTGGGTGTTAACTATTTGCCCATAGCTAGGTCCCTAACAGTTGCTACCACCCCGGGCCAGGGTGAACCTGAGAACACCAGCAACTAAGAGGTGATTTCATGCTCCTCAAAACCTGATCAGAGGCCTTGCTCTTACCCAGGACGCGAATGTAGTTTATCGTCTTACCCAGGACGCGGTTGTAGTTTATCGTCTTACCCAGGACGCGGATGTAGTTTATCGTCATCCCCAGGACAAGACTGAATGATGATGTTTTGAATTTACAAGTATAAAAATAAAATGACAAAAATGTGCAAAATGTTCTGTTAATCTTAAAAGGAATAATTTAAAATCTTAAATGACATTTCATGCATTTTTTTTTTAATAAATTATTTAGGATTTTGACCAGGGCTCGTTTTGAATACTGCTATGCAAAACTTAGTGTTCAATTTGTTTAAAGTTTAATTTCTTTTATGCTTGGGTGTACGAAATAAAAAAGAAAAACATTTCAATGGACTAAGCAAGAAAAATTCTTGAATACGTTTTCCTTTAGTATCTGTCTATATTTCTGAGATGAGGTATTATGTACATTATATATATATTATGTGCATAGAAATGAATACAATATGGGAACCAGTAATAAGGAGTACCAGAGAAAAGCAATAATGACAACAAAAATTGCAATATGAGCTCTGGTAAAAAACATGCAATGATAATAGCAAAAATTGCAATCGGAGCATTGGTAAAATATGGTTGCTAAAGATATTAGGTTTATAATATCCAGAAATTCATACACAGATGTCCTGAAGGTGTTAGTTAGATCCAGTGACAGGACCAAAAGAGTGTGAGTTCAATACCTGGCTAAAGCAGTGGAGAACTTTCAGAGGGAAATTAACAAAAAGATAACTGATAACTGACATCCATTAATCATGGCATGTGGAACTAAAACAGTCTACCCCAGTGAGCTAAATAAAGGGTTAAGTTCGACATTCCAACCACCTGAAGAAGCTCGGAGCGTACAACGTTGTAATAAATATGGCGACAATAGTTTTCCTTACTTTTTTTGTATTCATTTTGAGTCATGTAAGTCTCGCTGAAGTTAGCAAAGTTTTTAGTAGCGTGTAATTGCTTATGATTTACTCAAATGTGGATATAGTTCCTTGAAAAATATTGCTTAACCCTGGAACACTAACCATGGGTATGAAAATTTGCGCTGGGTATTATATAACCAGCGCAAATTTTCCTATTTTTAATTACAATTTTCAGTACCTGATTTTCTTACCTAAATAATATGTTTTTCAGTTCCTATTATTGTTAACTCAAAGTACAAAGTTTGAATTGCCTGCATGCAAAATATTTCAAATAAAGATTTATATTTAATATTTTTTTTTTCAAAATCGGGTATGATATACACATCCTTATTAGTGGTGTAACTTTAATTGATGGTTAGTGTTCTATGGTTAAATGAATCATGTAGCTTAAAGATTGCATAAGGTTATAGAAAACCAGGAAAATACTTTGATGAAAATTCTTTCGAGATCAAGTGACAAACGACTGGAATATAAGGAATTCCGTCCAGGGACTTATATAGTCATTTCATGTAGAAGTGCCAAAGTCAGAGCAATTGTTAAGGTAAGAAGAGATACGGAAGATGCGTTTCTCGCAGGCCAAATGGGGATTATGGTCGTTTTAGTCTGTCGGGAGAAAAGATAGGTATCTAAAGTGTAACTTAGATACCCATGCTAATGCCACGTGAATAGATTTGTGCATAAATAGCCTGTTTGACGTAATCAACAGACTTTTTGATTTACTCACCAAAGCAATATCTGGACAGTTATCGAGATATTTCCGGTAACGCAAACGGTAAAGTAATCACGGCGTGAGACAGTCGCTGTCTGTCTGAACACCCGAGTGTATATCCAGATGAATTTTAAAATTAATAAAATGTCTTATCCAAAGATTTTCTGGAAACTTTCTTTTTTTAATAAACCTGGTTTTAATTGGAGAATTTGATGCGAAAGCCTAATGCGATTTTTGCTCGAGGAAAATTTGGAATAAATTGGCTCGTCCATATTTGATGTCAATAAAAATTTGAATTTAAGCATCTGAGCTCACGTATCGATCCCGCCGCCTGCATTTTCCCGCCTCCTGCATTTTCCCGCCGCCTGCATTTCCCCGCACACACGTTTCATGAGACAAAATGTATCAATGGTGACACTACATTACTTAAAACTAATCACAAGGGATATCGAAAAGCAAACGGACTATTCACCAGGAAAATACGATTGAATATCATTGCTACATATCCTGAGGCCTCACGATTTATACCCTGCTAATGGATCTATTTATCTTATTACGATTGGATCCGCGGAAATTATCCAATTGGTAAAAGGAATTCACAGGACATTAACTCAATTAGTTAATAAATAATGTATTTAGGCGACGAAGCGATTCGTCTTTCATATACGAAAATTAGATTTATATATATATATACCAAAATTATCGATTATTTCCCCCTTTCTCTCTCTCTCTCTCTCTCTCTCTCTTTCTCTTTTACTCTCTTTATTCTCTCTTCTTCCCCGCCTCTTACTCGATACATTTCTATCTCGCTTTGATTTTCTCTTAGTCTTTCTCTCTTTCCTTTCTACTTATTCCCCCCCCCTCTTTCCTCATCAATCTTTCCTCCTCTTTTTTTACCAGTTTTCTTTCTTCCTCTCTGTTCTCGCTACTTACCCCTTCTCTTTCTCTTATTTTCTCGTAATCTCTTTCTTTTTTTCTGTCATTCTCGATCTCCATTCCTTCTCGTTCTGTCTGCCTTTCTCTCTCTCTCTCTCTCTCTCTCTCTCTTGCTTTCTTTTTCTCTTTCTCTTCATCTGTGTAATATTTTAACAACTCTAAGTACAAGCTTTATTTGACTCATTCTGCTTTTTGTACTGAAAAGCGTTTATTTTCATAAGGATGGATGGTTACAAGCGAGAGGAGAGATGAGGTATGCTTATTTTATTAAATCATTCTTTCTTTCTTTCTTTCTTTCTTTCACTTAGAGATTCTCTCTCTTTCCTTCTTCCTTTGTCCTTCCTCCCTCTCTCTCTGTTCCTATCTCGGCCTCCTTCTTGTTCTCTCCGCCTTTCACTCTCTTTCACTGTCTTTCTCCTTTGACTTCCTTGCTTGTTTCTTCTTTCTTTCTTTCTTTTTCTTTCTTTCTTTCTTTCTTTCTTTCACTCTTCTTTTCTTTCTCTCTACCTTTCTTTTTCTCTGCCTTTCCTTCATAGATTCTCTTTCCTTTTTCCCTTTCTTTTCATCCTTCCCCTCTTTCTACCATTCTTTTTAACTTAATCTCTCCTTCTCGTTCTCTCTGTCTTCCACTTAAAGCTTTACTTTGTCCTAATCTTTCCTTTTCTGTTTATTTGTCTCTTTATCTCTCTCTCTCTCTCTCTCTCTCTCTCTATATATATATATATATATATATATATATATATAATTATTTTTTAAAAAATGATTCCTTCGCTACATAAGAGTTCTCATGTTTCAAAAAACGAGAGCCGAAAACCTCAATATAATTATTAAAATTAAATTGAATTAAAGTATCAAGCCCTGTTTCATCCTCAAGCGAAAATTTACGAATAACCAATCTTGAAACTTATACATCTTTATAAGCATGTTCATTCGCAAAATTAATAACTATGGAAAGGGCTGGGGTGACCATTTTGATAAGGGGCCTAAGAGTTCATTTTTATCCACATATCAGTCACCTTCGGAAAAAGGTCAAGCTGAGTTAGGGTGGAGGTTTCCATTTCAAAGCGAATGAGGGCATTCATGTGTGTACATCGTCTGATCAGTCACAGCGAAAGATAGTTGTTGGCACCATAATATGTCGTTAGGTGTCTAGAGAATTTTATTTTATTTTATTTATTTATTTTTTCCTAAAGGGCTGTTTCGTACATAAACGCGTCGCACTGAACTACAATTTGTTTTTTTTTGTTTTTTTTTTACGACTTCATAAAGGGTTTTTCTATCTTATGATTGGGTTAAGCTTTTAAACCTTTTATTAGCCTATGAAAATTTTTTATGCTAATTATTTAATGCGAAAATTTGTTGATGTCGGCAAAAAACCGTTAATTCATGTCTATGGTATAATAAATTTTCATTATTTAGAAACTTAATAATGTGTAGTTTTTCATGTAGGCATAAAGGGCATGGGTCATCCCAGGTTTTACAAGCTCTTGTTCTATTTATTATTTTCCGTTAACCAAAGCAGGGTATTCGGAAAACCATGTGGATTTCGAAAATAGTAAAAACAAATGCCACGAAATGAAAAAGGGCACTCATTACCGTGCGTCATTTCTTGCATGGAAAGACTTTGAGAGACGTGTACAAGAAAGATCTACGATTGATAGAGTAATAATAAAGTATATGCAGGAAAAGAAGCAAGTGTGGAAGGCTCTGTTCACGCGTTTTGGAAATTGTTTTTAGCCACTCGGCATCTGGTATTTCGTGGACACCGAGAAATCTTTCCATCAAGTAACAATCCCGGTAATTTTCTTGCACTTGTTAAGCTACGACCCTCTGTTGCAACATCATTTGGATTATATCAAACGGCATCCACATTCTGCAACCTTTGTTTTCTCTGGCAATATACAGAATGAGTCCATTGTGCTACTGGGCGATGAAGTACCTCAGTCTATCCTAGAGAGAGTCAAAAGAAGCAGATACTTTGGGATTATGTTCGACACCAGCTCAAAATTGGAACGAGATGGTCTTCATTTGAACGACTGTCGTGTTCAGCCGTATAACAATGCTGCAACAATAGCTGGGAAGATAAGCCGTGTCCAGAAACGGATATCACAAAGAAGCCGGAAAGAAATCTTTTTGAATTGTGACAACAATTACTTAGACTTCGTAAGAATTCTTACAGCATCAGAAAATGTGTTTACTTTATCATTCTTTGGAGTTCTTGATTCAATGTATCATTTTCTTTTCTTCAGCTCACCAATGCGGTGAGAGAAATTTAAGTAGACGCTAAAAACGGATGTAAAGTCGTCCTCTGATACAAGACGGTATTCTAGGTAAAAAAAAGAAGTTGGATGACATAGTTAAATCGTTAGCGGATATGGCAAGTGACTCTTTAGTATCAGAAGATATAATAAGTGACGTTAGCTGCTTGATGCACAACATGCAAATATTCTACTTACTAACTTGTTCTTGTAACGGCATTCACCCGGGGTGGGTTGAGCCGGCTACAATATTGGAGTTTCATGGGAATTTCGAATTCACAAGCGGTCCCCAAACCCGCATGTATAGGCTTCAAATCAGTTCCCAGGAAACCGACAGCCCGACACCAGCACATGAGAATTGATTATAATGGTGAAGGTTTTGTGCAGGACCATCCACACTTTTTGAAGGGCCGAATACAGAGACCTGGTGCACTACGTGCCACAAGATCCCCAAACGACCCTCCGCAGGTTTTGAATTCAGAGTTGTCCTTCTCCTAGACCAGTTGCCATCCAGGGCTATAGAACCCAGTCTGTCCTGCTATTTACCCATAGCTGGAGGGAGAAGAAGAGGATTCACACCTTTCCGAAGGGTATTAGCACGTAAGTGAATGTATTGAATTCAGCTTCCTATGCTGCCGTTCTCGGGCAACGTCCTGACTTTCATCGACCTAGTACACAAGAAACTCCACTGCCCTAGAATGAACTTCAAAGATGTTTTCCTTATTTTGCCTAATTCACTTTTGATTGGGTTTATTTAAAATTTATCCTTGTCATCCTTGTGTGATAAATATTTGCACCTCAACAATGCAATTTATTCGGTCGACTAAATATAACTTTTTGGTGGTTATTTTAGCGTCCTTATTGATATCGTATTTTGCTGTTTTTAGTGCTTCTCTGTATTTTTCACTTGTGTTATCTTTGAGTAATTTGTTGTGTTTATGGAGGAGAGGTCTTGAGTTCTTATAAATCCCTCGTGCCCTAGAATGAACTCCAACGAAAGACGAAGGAAAACGCTTATTATAGGGTACTGACCTTGGTCAACAGATAAGGGGGCGTCGTAAAAACAGAATGGCTGGAGAGGAAACAAAAGATGATCCTGTAAATATAAGACATGGATGTTACCTTGAAGGCAATACTGGACAGGAGGAATAGAGAACTGAAAGATCGATTTACATGGTTGACTCAGTTATATGAGTAATTTGGGTTCCTCTTGAATATTGAAAGCCTCAATGACTCGAAAGAAGAAAGGGTAGAAAGATGCACAGTAGGTGCTGCAGAACACGAGGGTGATATTAATGGAATAGAATTTGGTTGCGAAATTACAGACTGCTGAATGTTATTGCAAAAAAAGATAAGACAATGGTTTCGTTAAACTAAAAAACCCAATGGAGCTTTTCCTCTTCACAATAAATTACGGGGACGATATGTTCCCAAATTTAGAAATAGCATTGCGCATGACGAACGGACTGAGTATCGTACCCATAAAGCCTCAAATGGACAACATGTCAAAAGGAAAAAAATGTTGAGCTGACTAAATGACGAATCGCGAAGACACAAAGTTTCAAAAGGACAAACTGTTAAACAAATTAAAATTAAACACATTAATTTAAAAATTAATATATCGTCATTATTTAAGAAAAACGAAAAAACTCAGTTAAATAATCAGTTAAACTATTCTAAACTTTTTATTGTCTAGCTTTGGTATCATTTAATAAATAATAGTTAACGTTCGGTTATATTCCCAAATTGCTTCTATATATATATATATATATATATATATATATATATATATAGAACTTGTAAAACTTGGGATGACCCATGCCCTTTGTGCCTGCATGAGAAACTGCACATTATTAAGTTTCTAAATAATAAAATCTATTAAACAATAGACATGAGTTAACGGTTTTTTGCCGACATCATCAAATTTTTGCATTGAATAATTAGCATAAAAACAAACATAAAATAAAATAATTTTTAAAATCCATAGCCCTAATAAATAATTTGAATACCCTACAAAAAAAGATAACCCTTTATGAAGTCGTCAAAAAACAAATGTTACGGCAGTTTTTTTATATACACAAAACCCTTTCAGAAAGAAATAAAATAAAATAAATAAATAAATCTCCATAGACACGTAAACCAGACTAGGCGAAAACATCT